TTAAGATCCTAGTTTATATTTTTACATAGAGAATAGTATGATTTGTTGAAATGCAAGAGATTGGTATCATCTGCAAATAAATGAACCGATGGGAAGTGAACAGAGTTGTTAGATCATTAATGTAAATTAAAAACAAAAGAGGACCAAGAACGGAACTTTGAGGAACACCACACGTAACAGGTTTGTTACTAGAAGTATAACCATTAATACTTACATATTGTTTCCGGTCCAAAAGATAAGATCGAAATCAATCACTTACAACTCCACAAATTCCATAATGTTTTAACTTAGAAATCAAATTGCTATTATCAACGGTATCAAAAGCTATTTGTAAATCGATAAAAACACCACAAGCAAAATGAACAGTATCAAGAGCTTTTCTAATTTTTTCAGTTATACTTATCAGTTCGTGGCAGGTAGAATGGTTTGATCAAAAACCAAATTAAAACTTATTTAAACAGTTAAAAGAGTTTAGAAAAGAGTACACTCTAGATTGCATTAATTTTTCAAGAAGCTTACTAATGTTAGATAAAATAGAAATAGGTCTATAGTTAGTACATAAAAGTTTAGAACCATTTTTGAAAATTGGAATAATACAAGATTTTTACGAGTTTTAAAATATCAGAAAAAGTTCCATTCATGAATGAGGTATTAAATAGTTTAGAGAGAATATTTGAATATTCGTAGTTAAAATCAATAAGAATGTTTGTAGGAATACTGTTTTGACCTAATGATTTTCTCGGCTTCAATTTAGATATAAGAGATGAAATTTCAGGAGTGTTTGTTGGAGATAAGATATGTAAGTTTGGATATTTAAGATAATTTTTATAGTTGACGTAAGTTCAAGTTTTTTTACATTATCTGAAAAGAAATTTTTTAAATGGATTTTCTTGCTAAGTTTAATTAAAGTAATTATCATGAATTTATATCACTTAAAAATAGTTTTAAATATTTATTAAATCTTTTGATCTTAACTTTTTTTTTTGAAAAAGATTGCAAATTTTAATAGATTTCATAATTTCTTTTGTAATCCATGGTTTAAATTGGCGCTTGAAGCTCTTAATACTAGTCTTTTTAAATGGGGGATAGCGATCCAAAATTGATGTTGTTTCAGTAATAAACTTATAGAAACAAGAGTTAGTGTCACTTTTTTTTATAACATCATCCCAATCACGCTTTATTAAGTCAGATCTAAATTTTTCATTATCAAAGTTTTTAAAATTTCTACGATATATTTTGTGACTCCGTGGTATAAATAATTTGTTGAAATTAGGACAATTTGAGGTAGGTAATCAGAGACAGAAGTTGTCAAATATCCAGAAATAATATCATTAGTTATTAAATTAGAAAAAATATTGTCAATGATTGTAGCAGAGTGTTCAGTAATTCTTGTTGGCAAAGTAATAAAAGGGCGAATATTTTAAATAAAAAGTAAGTTTAAAAATCACAGGTTGCAATGTCATTACTTGATTGTCTTAAATCTATATTAAAATTACCCAATAAGAAAACAGATTTATTTTCTGCAGATATTTTTAGAAGTAATGCAGACATTATATTATTGAAAATATTTATGTCCATGCAATGGTGTCTATAAATACACCCAACAATAATATTAGATTTTTTGGAAAAAATTAATTTAACAAAAGTGGATTCTAAAAAATTATGTGAATAAATCATCAAATCATCTCTTCGTTTGTATATTAATTTTTTTGACAAGTATAACAATGTCCCATCACAGGAAGATTCAGTTGCTGTATGCTCAATGTTGTAGTTATCAATGAGAATTGGATGAGTTGAGTGAATTTCTTTTTTTAAACGTGTTTAAATAACAGCAATAATAGAAAACTCAAAATTAATTAATTATAAAAATATGTTTAAATCCTCAAAGTGTTTTTGCAGTGATAAAATGTTTAGGTAAAAGAAAGTGCGTTTATTTTGTCAAACTTCAGGAAACAAAATTTGTCTATTTCATAATATTTACAAGTTATGTCTAGTGATGCATAGATTTCTTCATCAGAATCTAAAACACGAGATGAAATATAGTCATTAATTTGGTTAGAAATTTTATGCAAATGTAACAATGGAAAAATGTTTGTAGACGGAGGTAAATTGTCAGTTAAAATAATTTGATTAGAAGAAAATAATAATTTAAGTTCATTATCTGGTACATCTGTGAATGGAAATATACTCTTAGTACAATTTATACAATGTCGCATTGAGCAACCTAATTATAATAAGTTGCACCCAGAATCATTGAGCCTGTTGCATTTTGTATGAGTCCAAAATGAACAAATCTCACGTTGAATTGATCGGCAACTTAGACTTTTTTTTTTTTTTTTAAACAAATAACAATTTAAAGTCATAGTATAACAATGAAAATGAGTAATTTCTGCAATAGAATAAAGAATGCAAGAGATATTATGTAGGAAGTAAAAATAGTAGCTATGGTGATAATAATAGTAAAAAGCAAACAATAACAGTAAGTATGATTATTAGGAAGAATAGCAAATTAACTTAAAACAAAAACAGTTATAATAAGTAATATTAACAATGATATTATTAACAATAACACAATGATCAAACAAAATTTTGATTAAAATTATATGATTTAATTAAATTATATGATTTAAATAAATAAAAATTATATGATTTAAATAAATAAAAAATTTAATATAATATAAAATGCTTATATTAAATAAGTATCTAATACAACTAATAATTAAAATAAAATAAAAAAATGATAATTAGAACAAAGGCTAGCTACAAAAATATCTTCTAATACTTGATCTTTTCTTTCTTCTCTTCCGCTTTTTTTTGGTTTCTGCTGTTTTTCTTTTTCTTATCTTTTTCTTTTCTTTTTTCTTTTTTATAATTTCTTTTAGTTAAATTTAGGTGATTAAAAATTCGAATTTTTTTTTGTCTATTTTTTTTAAAGTTTAAATGACGTAAACTCTCTCCTCCTTTTTATTTGGATTTTTTTTGATGTCTTTTTTTTTAATTTTATATGCACTTAATTATTATTATTTCTTTTTTTTGTTAATTTTTATTTCTTTCTTTTTAAAATTTCTTACTTTATTTACTGATTAGATTTGTTGTTTAGTTATTAAAATTTTTGTTTAAATTTCTTTTTTCTTTTTTTTTTCTTTATTTTTCTATTATAAAAACATGTCCGCCATTGTTAAAGACTCTCCAAGATTCTTTATAAATATGTTTGATTTATTATGTAGATCAAACCACTCATCATTTATATAATAAAAAAAGGTGTTAAGCATTTAAAATTAAAAAAAAAAAACTATACATCAGCATACTCATGCAAACATTCAGTTAAATGTTTCAATTCAAAAGGTTTTTTATTTTAGATTTTTTTTTTTAAATGATGTAACATTTTAGTCATGTAGTTTAACTTATTTGTATTTATAAAAATTTTTTTTTTAAATGAATATTATTGTTTAAATTTTAAATGAATATTATTGTTTATAATTAAACTATGAAAAATATTGGATTATCCGATAAATTCTTGCATTTTTTTGTTTAATTTTTATAACTTTATGTTTAAACATAAAATAACGATAATTTTATCAATAATGTATTCTCTATTGTTGGTTATGACTTGCTCCCAACATTAAACAATTTTTTCTATTCCTCTTCAGTATAAAATGCCCTGCCTTGATTCGAAAAATTTGTCTAACCACGTTTGTAATTTAACATCATTATTGAACCAAAAACTGTGCAAGCATTTGAAAGAGATAGGAAGAGGTGGAAATCTGATATTATTAAGTCTGGAGAGGATGGAGGGTGTAGCAACACTTCCCAATTAAGTGTTTGAAGCGCCTCCTTGGTCATAATGGCAATGTGGTGATGGGCATTGCCTTTTTGCAGAAGAATGCTTATTGCATATCAGGTCCTTTTTGCAGAATGGCAAGGTTTAATTGTTGCATCTGTTGAACATAAAGCTCCATATTAACTGTTTGGTTGCGATCAAGAAATTCCCAGTGGATAATGTCTTCCCAGTCTCACCATAGATACAACGCTGTCTTCTGTGGATGAATCTTGCATTGCTTGCAGGGTCGCTTGTTTTTTCAACCTTAACCATTCTTTGTGCTGTTTCATGTTGACATATTTTTTTTTTATGACACCATTTTTTGTTGTCAGTGACCATGCAATCTTTGCTTATCATATGAGTTGAGAGATTAAGAGCAAGCAAACCGACAGTAATGGTGGATTGTTGATTTATATTGTTATCACTCAATACATGTGGCACCCAAGCTCCAAGTTTTTGAATCTTTCCAGTTAAGTGAAGATGCTCTGCTACTGTTGATTTATTGGATCCTATATGCTCTGCTAATTCTCAGGTTGTTTGACACACGTCTTTGTGCAAAAGTTGATTCAAATGCTCTTCATCAAACTCAGTTGGTCACCCTGATTAAGATGCATCTTTGAGATCAAAATCACCACTTTTGAACTTTGCAAACCAATATCAAGCAGTTCTTTTAGCTATGGCACACTCTCCATATATTGCACAATTCTCTCTAGCAGCTTTCATGGCTTTGACACCTCAGTTAAACGCAAAATAAAATTGGTGTTGAAAATGCTTGCTTTTGTTAACTTGATACTTCATTTAAATGCTCTAAAAATAAAAAAAATGAGTACAAACAAAAAACTCAAATAGACTTGTAGAGCAATAAACTTTGATTCAAATAACACAAAACATTACGTAAATTTTTTAATTTAAAACAATAGCAAAAGTTTATCAGACAACCCAATATATAAAATAGTTATAGTTAAACTATGTCAAATATATATTTATATATAAATTAAAGTTAATGTTTAGCTAAAAATAATTTTAAAAAGTGTGTGTGGGGGGGGGGGGGGGGAGTTGAAATAAATGCAGACATCTTTTTTTCTTAACAATCTTGATATTGAATAAAATGTCTTCTGATTTTATATAAGTTTAAAAGTTTATTATTTGTAGTTTATAATTGTAACTTTTTTCAAATTAGATTCAGCAAGAGTTAATTGGTGCTTGGCTTTATATGGTTAATAATAAAATGGGAATGTACAGTGAAGATGTTGTGTTACCTAATCCGCTTGCAACATCCTATGAAGATAGAATGAATATGTTAAAAGAATATGAAGATGTTCAAGATATATGGCTTCAGTTTTTTATTCGAAGATTTGAAGTTGTTTGCTATTATAGCAAAGAACAGGTTTGAAGTTGTTGTTGTAACAAAGAAAAGGTTTACAGTTGTTGTTATAGAAAAGAACAGGTTTGAAGTTGTTGTTATAGCAAAAAACAAGTTTAAAGTAGTTTACTATTATAACTAAAAGTTTTTTTTAGTTTTAGTTGATACTTTTTGTGGATTTCTAATTGTTTTTAGACACAAAAATGTAATGATAGTTTTTTTTTCAAAAGCTTCAAAATTTAAAGTTGACAAATGAATTGTTTTTAAGATACAATACAAATAAATTATATGTTTCTTTTTTAGGCTTCAATGTTCGTTTTAATGTTAGTTGACTCACTAACTGAAGCAGTTGGAAAGAATAGCAAAATAGCACATCACATTAATTATATTCAAGCTCGTTTTCGTCTCGCTCGCCTTGGTCTTCATATTTTGCAGTCAACTCATTCTATGGCTCCAGTTGTTGTTAGTGTTTTACGAGAAATGGTTTACCACACAGCACTCGATTATTTTTCGTGAGTTTGTTAATGAATATACTTTTATGATGATGAGGAGAAAGTATTTAAAAATATTGTTTAATAATTTTAATTAATATTCACATAAAACCCAACATAAACACAAAAATATATATGTATATATATTTATTTCTTAAAAAAGATTTCCATCTACTTGGCCTAAACCAAAAACTGAGATGTTAGGAAGAAGCATTACTTTATTAATTGATTTTTGGAATGCATTAAATGCTGATAAGCGTTTCATTAAATCGTTGAATATATTGTCTACTTCACTTGATTGTGTTTTGAATGAACCAGTTATTGAGCAAACCCAAATGACAACCTCTGATTCCTTGAGAGTAGAGCAGCAGGTAATAGATAAATTATTAAATAAATATTTTTTCATTTCATAAGTTATTTATTTTAAATTGTTTGTATTTGCAAACAAATAATATACTAAACAAGATATTTTTATTGAAGTTTTTAAGACCCAAGGTCTTAAATTATAAATTAGGTTATCCATTGTATCAAACTTTTAGCCCATTGTATCAAATTTTTAGCAAATAGTGACTTGATTAATTGCAGAGTAGAAATGATGTCTAGGCAATGCTTGAAAAGAAATGCAATTTATTTTTTTTAAGTGTAGTTTTCAATGACCAATACAATGCATTGTTAACAATTTGTAAAGCAACTCTAAACTACAAGTTGCTTTTTGATTTTTTGACAGAAAGAAAATTTTTTATAGTTTCACACATTTTTTTCTTTTTATATGATCTATGATTTTTTGATTTTTGTAGGATCTATAACATTGTGATTTCTTAACTCTTCTAACCATGATTTTTACTTATTTTGATTTTTTTTAACTAATTTTGTAGCAACAGATCTGGGTTTCTCTTGAGTTTCCTTTATGTTTAATATTATTATTTTTTTATACAGATTCTTTTCTTAAACTATTTCTGTTTTGTTATTATTGTTTATTTTGATAGCATAATGAACAGGTTTTAATGGAATTCCCAGCTAAACAGAAACTTTTTTCTTGGACAAGTTAATTTTGCATTAAAAAAAAAGAAAAAGAGTTACTCTTTCTTTTTCTTTTTTTGAGAAGATTTTTAACTCAAACTTGTCCAATCAAGTACAAATTCAAATTTTTACACATGGTAGAACTTTTTGAAATAATAGAACAAAAAAACTGTTGTATTCTTTAGAATACCAGTAGAACTTTTTGAAATAATAGAACAAAAAAACTGTTGTATTCTTTAGAATACCTTAGTAAGTGAACATTTGCAAAAATTTTTGGAAATATGTTTTAGTGAACCGAAATCTATTTCTATTTTAGACATAGCATCATGACATTTTGAAAATAATTTATAAGTTTTTTTTTTTCAATCTGACGTTTTAAAAAAAAGAATAAATTTTGTTTGTGTTGTGTTATATTTTTTTATTGTGTTTTTAAGTGTTGTTATATATATTTCTTTCTAATTAAATGAAAATAAAATTGTTTATAATTTTAGAGCTGGCTTAATTTACAAGGAAGGACAAGTTCATTAAGTACAAATATTGCAAAAAAAACATATTATACCTCAAGAACCAAAGAAAGTGGGGTATTAACAAAAGAATTACTAAAAAAACGGATTCTGATTCTTGCTGCTCTACGTAGAGAAATTGAAAGACTTTTGGTTTGGAGAAATCCTAAAAATGTACCTGAGCTAAGGGTTCCTAATGAGGATACTGTTCATCTCTGGGCTAGTCAGATATCTCTTACAGATAAAGTGTGGAAAGAGTGTATTAGAACAATATGGAAGTGTTGTCCTCAAGTTGCAGTTTATATTGCCCTTCGGTAACTTTTTTTTTTTAATTTTTTATGAAAATTTTCTTGTATTGCCATAGTTGTGTTTTCAGATAAAATAAAATAAAGTATTTACAAATAAAATAATAAATAAAGTAAACAGCAATAAAAACAAAGTTTTACTACATTTAAGTTTCAAAGTTTTAAAAGTTGTTTTTCTGGTTGTTTGTTTTTGAAATCAAGACATGTAATTGTCTTTATATTGCTGTAAATATATATATATATATATATATTTTTTGTTATGTTTTTATAAAAAAGTGTATTTATTATTTAGGTCACTGATTTAAATCTGGGCTCTGATAAGAATCAAGCTGCTGTCAATAATATAGCCTATATTTTCTTTAAATTATCTTTCCAATTTTATGTTTGCATAAATTATTCTTCTTTAAAAATTGTTAATGTTTTTTTCTCTGTGGGTTTTCATTGGTTGTTTTTAAAAACCAGAATCTTTACAAAAAAATAAGTAAACAAGTAATTTTTTATTATCTGATACAAACTATAATAATAAAAGTATTAACATAAAAATGATTTAAGAAAGAAAAAAACAAAGTTTTAACTTAAGTTTTTTTTCACCAAAAACAATCAAATTTATTTATTGAAAATATCCATACAATTAAAAACAATCATTAAAAACATCCATCCATCAAGTACCTTCATTGGTAACATGAAAACATCGATTCAACCATATACACTGTTATAAAACATTCATACATCAATCAATTACATTTATTGAAAGCATCTGTTCGTCAATCAAATACACCCATTGAAAATATACATCCAATGCATTCATCAAATACGTCCATTGAAAAACATTTATTCAATGCATTCATCAAATACCTTTATCAAATACATCCATTGAAAAATATACATCAAATGCATTCATCAAATACCTTCATCAATTACATTTTAGTATTTTTGTAACATTTCTAATAATTATGATGAAAAATGTTAATAGTGATAATGCACAGTGGGTCAAAAGTGACATTTTCTAGCCAAAACCCCAAAAACATATTATATTATTAACTTTTTTTATTAGAAACAGTTTATTATATAGAAAAACACAATCTGCAGAAATAATAACATTTGTTTTGAAAAAAATTTAAATTTTTCTGATTGCATTTTCATGTAAAATTTTCATGAAAGATCTTAAAAACCTTATTGATAGCCTCGATAGCCTCTTCAGAAAACATACCTAATGGAAGAGTAAATAGTTAAATGACTTTATAGTCATGAATCAAAATCTTATGAAGTGTTTGGGTCATAGGATATCAAGGGTACAGGTCTACATATAGCGAAGCAGTTTCCTAACAGAATGTTTTAAATTTTGATGAGCTAATGTCATAAGTACATGACATTGTGGCCAGAATAATATTAAGCTTTTTTATAAGATTTGCATCTATGTTTATAATATTAGCTGAGACATCGTATTGCTAAACAAATTGCCTAGCTGTGTTACCATTGTATGATGTACTTGCCCCACATACTCTTAGTTCGTCTATGGCAAGACCTACCCTTTTTTGAAATTCAGCTTGAACTTGAGCCTTTCTCAGTTTATCAATACTTTTTTCTTCTTCTGTTGTAGCCTGCCACTTCACAATTGGCATCTTGTAATTGAAATGGAGCATACATTTTAAAAACCTTATCCAAGCATGCAAAATTGAAATACCATGTCTGATATTGCTTTCTATAGATTGTTCATTTTGGTTAGATATGGATCACACACTGAATAGCATTGGTAACAGTTGGTAGCTGTGGAAATAATAGTTTGAATTTTTCCATTTATCATTGTTATATTTACAATATGTTATACTACAACTTCCTTCATTGTACCGTCCTCCAATAAAACAAATACATTGAATGTTATATTTTTAATAGAAGTCATAATTGATTCATATTCTGCAAGAACTACTTCTTTTGATTTTTTTTTATATTTAAATCTGAGAAGCCTAGTAACTAGTTGACGATGGTTTTTCCATGAATTTTTCTAAACAACCTGTTTTTTCTCATCTTTAATACAATATAGTTCTAGAGGAACAAAGCAATATATGAAAAATGATTCATCAGTATTAATTTCAATCATCTCATCTGATTATTGTTTACAAACAGATTGCCTTGTTGTACCAACAAAATCAGTTTAGTATATTAGAATTAGTCTAGTACAATCTTTAAGCACAGGTAAATTTAACACAGCACTATAAACTGAACATAATCTTGATGCAGTATGAAAAAGAAGATCTTGTAATGGTACCTCTGCATATTAGTCACTGAGCTGAATATTTTTAAGGTAGCATTTATTTTTAGCCTCTTTTACTATATGATATGATGGGTATAAAGAGTTAAATTGAAGAGCATTATTTCCTAAATGCTTATAAGTTTCTTTGGATAAATTAGCATCTAAGACTAATGCTAAGCACTCTCTGATATAAGTGATCCTGTCGATAATTCTTTGTTGCATATTTTTTTAACAACTTTTGCTTCTATAAATCTTTTATCTTTTTTGAAACTTTTACTCGCTGCATATAAAAGTTCCTTCAAATTGTATTTATCCAAAAGCTTAGAAACTATGCAATCTTTTGTTTGCACAGATGCAACTTCAAACAAAACTGAAGGGCATTCATCTTAAATTGTTACAATAGTTTAACAATAATTATCATAATGACAATAGAAATAAATTTTATAAATTATAATAAATTTTATTTATAGTTAAAGTAAACATACTCAGGTTTTTGTTTCAAGTTTTTGTTTTTTCCAGTCAAATATAATTTCCTCTAACCAAATTTTATTTCTTTTTTTAAATACTGCACTTGTTCTATTTGATTTTTTCCATTTTACTTAGTTTGATTAATGAATTTTGAAATAATTGACAAACAATTATTAGATTCTTCAAAATTGCTTTCAGAAACAAAACTTGAAATTTTCGCATGTATATCATCATTTTACAGCAAATTATTTTCCATTATATTATTCATAAGACATTTTCTATCCAATTTCAAATGACTGTCAATCAATTTAATAAATTTTAGTTATTTTGTTATAAGGTAAATTAAAATATTTTGTAATAAGCTAGTTAATGCTTTTTATGGTTTTTTTACGAGTCGTAACTAAATAATTCACTGCCTTTCTTTAATTTCATATTGGTTGTTTTTGCATTTTTTATCGAATATGTATAATTTTATTGTTTTCTGAAATTTTAAAATAAATAATAAATAAATAATATTGGTTATGTCTCAAACTTGTACTAGGTACAAGTTCATAATTTTGTATTTTATTTAGTTTTTATTGCTTTAAAATAATAGCATAAATAATAACAAATAATGGTTTCAATGCAATCTAAATGTTTATTGAGTTATTATTATGCAGTAACTAGAAATAAAAAAAATAAAAAAAAATTTTTTTTAAAGCTCAATCTATAAAAAAATTATTATAAAGTCAAACTGTATTTTTTTTGTTTTAATTCCTCTTAAATTTTTAATTATCAATAAATAGCCTAATACAATACAAGAAGTGTTGATCCGTTGGTGTTAAATGATATGTTAAATAGTTTTTTTATTTTTTCCCTCAAAATGAACAATATTTTTGTTAAAAATATTTATATAAAGTGCAAACAAAATAGTTTTTTTATTTTATTTAAATAATAACATAATAATATATAAGTTATATGGTTAAAAAAATAAACATAAAGTTCTTTAAAATAAGAAATCAAAGTTTCAAAAAAATGTAAAAAAAGGAAATTTTCGTACTTTTTGTTGTTTTTTTATGAAAAGTTTTTAAGGCGATATTTAAATAACAAATATGATATTTTATCACAAAAATATTTTCTAATAAAATACAATTTCTGGCTTAATAATATGTTGAACAAAAATAATATGTTGAACAATTCTTACCATTTTTTAAATTTCAAATTTTCAAAATTTTTTTTGTATGGTTTTGCCACACTTTGACCCACTATTTAACAATGAAAAGGTGATTCTATAGACAAATTGAGTACATATAATAAAGAAATATTAGAAGGCCAATATTAGAAATATTAGAAAAGCCAAGCAAAATTTTTTTTTAAAAACTCTGTGCCAAACATGCATTAATGGGCAATGGCAGCGTTGAATTCATCAATAATTAATAGCGGTTAGAAATTAGGTTTTAAGTTATTTAAACATATCAAAAATAATTGTTCTAATTATTTAAACATAGCAAAAATAATTATCCTAATTATTTAAACATAGCAAAAATAATTATTCTAATTATAGGCAGTTTAATCTTTATTATTTTCAAATAAAATTAAAAAAAAAAGTTCTGCATAGCAATGGTATATAGTGACAGAAACATACTCAAAAAACTTTAAAAAAAAAAAAGAGATAAAAAAAACATTGATAAAACAGAGCACTTTTTCTTCTGAATTCCAAGAATAATTTAGATCATGAACAATTGCTTTTTTCATTAATTGTTAGTTATTATAAAAACAAAGCAGTAAACACTTTGCTTTTACAAGAACTAACTATAAAGTGTCTCCTTATTATTTTTCTCTCCTTTTTATTTTTTAACAAAATTATCGATATTTAAAAAAAAAAATTAAGTATATAAAAAAGTATTAACTTTAAAAGTCAACAATATATTTAAAGGTTCATGGAAGTGTCTGTTGTACTCAAAGAAGTAAATCTACTTGTTCAAGCAAACCCACTCTTAGTTTGTCATGTTCCAGAAGCACTTCAATTTTTAATAGATGAAGCTACAATTCGACAAGACAAGCATGCTCTGCTATATATATTGATTTGGGCTATTGTGTCTCCTGTAAATGCTATATCGTTTTTCTCTCAACAATTCCCTCCACATCCTTTCACTGCACAATATGCTGTTCGTGTACTGCAATCTTATTCAACAGTAAATTTTTAACTATTTTTAATTATATTATAACTTTTTTTTTGCGCATTTATTATCAGATATATTACACACATTTTTTATTTACCATTTGTGTGCTTATTAAATTTTTTTTTACATAAATCCATAGGTATTAGGTTTAGATTTTAATAAATCAGTTTTTGAAGTATATAAAGTCACTTATTAGCTTTTAAGTCACTGAGGACATTTTGAGATGCAGCTAATTTTTAAATTACTTTTTAAAGTTTTAGAAAAAAATTAGCTGAACTTTCAAAACAAAAATTAAATGCTTAACTAGAACTTTGTAGTTTTGAATTAGTTATGCATTGTAAAAAGTGAGAAATAAAAATGATTTTTAACTATATATTATTATTTATTACCTATATATACAGTGGGGTGCAAAAAAAAAAGCTGCATTAATATTTTTTCTTGATTTTAGTTTTAAAAAGAATAATATACACTTTAAAAAAATTGGATGTGTAAACGAAAAATCCAGGACCAAAGTAGCATGTTTATATATAAATTGATATTTATATAAATAAAATCTTTAAAAAATGGATTAAAATAGCCACAGCTTACAATTTCTATATTTGTTAGCTGTTTGGAAAACAGCTTCCAAATATAGATATTGGATAAATTATTTAAACTGCTGACCAAGGAGTCTTACAGAAGCATCAGAGAGCATTTTAAATGATAAGACTCAACTATTAGCAGATTGTTAAAAATATATAAACACACTGGTAATACTGTATAGTCTGCTGTCAGGGGAGAAAGCCTATAAAGCTTTCTTTAAACTTATTCGAACTATACAAAAGCTATTATTTGAACTATACAAATCTTGTTGAATATAAGTGTTAGGTGAATTTTTTTCTATAAAGAAAATAAAAACTCTGTTAGTGAAATCACAAAAAAATTCTCCAAACCTGCAAAGTAACTCCTAAGCATGACAAAAATATAAATCCTTTGGTTGTTTTTGTACACACAAAGTTGGATGACTTTATTGGGTGAAAAACATTATGGGTCAGCATTTTTATCACAAAATCTTAGTTATATACTTGCATAACATACTTGCACCAAGCATAAAAGATTTTTTTCTTAATGGTGATTTCTAGTCGCATTAAAAGATCAACGCAATAATGATCATATTATTTCTTACATTAAAATTTGTTGTTCCTATATTAAAGTTTTTAGTTTTTACATTAAAGTTTTTAATTTTTACATTAAAATTTGATTTGATAGTCATTAAGAGTCATAAGAATGTTTTGATGATTTTTTAAATTAAGTTTTGACATGTGTTTTTTGTTTTATTGCTCTTCATTTGTAATTGTTTAGCTTTAATCTTTAAATTTACTAGTTTTATATATACTTTTTTTTTTAACAAAATAGGTTGAAAATAATTTAAAATAGTTTAATATGTAGTAGTTTAATAATAGAAAATAATTTAAGATATAGTTTAAACTCTTTGTTTGCTTATATAATAAATAAATAAAATTTTAATTTGCAACTATTTTAGGTTTTTTTAATATTCATAGGAAACAATGCTGTTTTACATTCCTCAATTAGTTCAAGCCCTGCGATATGACCATATGGGTTATGTAGAAAAATATATTTTGTGGGCATGTAAGAAATCTCAGCTACTGACTCACCAGGTAAACTCTGTTAGTTACTTTATATTATTATAAGGAATAAGGTTTTTACTATCAAAACCTAAGTTAGTCAATACATGACAAACTTGGGACTTGCTTAAAGTTAGTCATTACATACATGTAGTTTTCAACACATTTATTAATTCACTAGTTTTGTTTTAAATATCTAGTTTATTTGGAATATGAAAACAAATATTTTTACTGATGAAGAATCAGTTAATAAAGACCCAGGTATTGGTGATAAACTTGAGAATCTTATAAACCAAATCAAGTTATCTTTGTCTGGTCCATCTCTGGATTTCTTTAAACGAGAGTTTGACTTTTTTGAAGAAATAACAAAAATTTCAGGCGAAATAAGGTAATAAATAATTGATTCAAAAATATTTAGGTATTTTTTTAAGTATAGTAAAAACATTGATTAAAGGTTTGGGTTTGCGTAGCAACCATTTTGTTTTTATTTCTGAAAAAACTGTATAGATTTAAAATCACTATATATTATCAGATTGCTCACTAAAGTATGCATATAAGTATGATATATATAAGTATGCATATAAGTATGACAGTATATATATGTAATATATAAACAAAGTATGATAATGTATATCTAAGGATGTTAATTCCTAATTTATTTTGTGCACTTTAATTCTTTATATGTCCACTTTAATTTTTAAAAAGCCTTGCATATCTCAATATGGTATCATCAGTGATTATTTAATGCTGCATTAATATATTAACACATTAATATATTAAATTATATATATATATATATATTGTATTAAATTCAAGTTATAATTATAATTATAATTGTTGTTTTAGTTTAATTATTTAATTTATTTTTATCGAAAGTATTTTTGATAAAAGTATTTTTTTTTTGTCACTCTGTGATTAAATTTTATAAAAAGTTTTTTATCTTTAGACCATATCCAAAAGGGGATGAGCGTCGGAAAGCATGCCAAGAAGCTTTGAAAAAAGTTTCTCTAAAACCTGGTGTTTATCTACCTAGCAATCCAGAAGGAATTGTAGTTGGCATTGATTATAATTCTGGTATACCAATGCAGAGTGCAGCAAAAGCACCTTTTTTAGCAAGATTTCAAGTTCAAAAGTGCAGTATAAAACAGTTAGAAGAATTAAATACAACTTGTATGTATATACAATGTCATTTCTTTTTTGTTTATTCTTTTTATTGCTTTTTTTCTGTTATGTTTTTTGTAGTATTTTTATTATGGTTGTATATATTAACTAATTCTATTAATTTATTTTTTGTTTTTTTGTATTTTTTCAATTTGTTTAAAGTAATTGCGCTGTTTACAAATTTTTTCAATTTGTTTAAAGTAATTGCAGTTTACTTTAACAGATAGCCTGGCTGACAATCTGTTATAATAAGATTTGCATTATGTTCTTTTACATCTCTTTCATGCATACTCAGTTTGTATGCGAGCGAAAAATTAACTCAAGTTTATTAAGTTGTGAAAATGTTTATTGAAAAAAATATATAAGGTTACAACAAAACTAGGTTTATTTCATAATTTTATTTGAAGTTGGGTCCTAATGGGCCATTCTTTTTTTTCCATTACAAAACGAAAAAAACACTTCTCAGAAAAAAGCACTTATCAAAGAGGTCTTTTAGCTACAGGACACTCACGGGTGGATTTAACAAATGAGTCTGTTTTCTAAAGGTCCTTCTTTTTGCAACTTTTTTTTTTTTTTTTACAAAAAAATGAAAGAAATAAAAATAAGTATTCAATATTTAAAATATTCAAACTTATTTTTATCACACATTGCACAGAACTGCATTACTACAACCATTGAATTATAATAAAGTATTAATTATTACAACCATGTTTTTTTACTCTAATGACAAGAAAGAAAGATAGTTGTAAATTTTTACATTCATAAATTAAAGATAACTGAACAATAATCTGTTTTACTAATGTTTTTTTAAAGTTATTATTTCTTGTTTTTATTGTAGAACATGCCTATAAATAGGTTTTCTGTTTCCTGTTTTCTGGATTTGTTTGAGTCTTTTAATATCACATTTTAGATAGGGTGAGCACACAGAGGTCACATTTAGTGGTAGTGACTTGTATTTGATGATATGTATTATCTTCTTTTACTATTGTGTAGTTGTGTGTGGATTTGTTTCCTTTTTTTGCCTACATGCATCACTTTACACTTGTTTGTGTTAAATAGTAAGAGTCAATTTTTTGACCACTCCAAGAAAACAGCAACTTCCCTCGATTCATCAGTGATAATCAGGAAGATTGTTAATAAAGAGGACAAACAGTAGTAGACCATGAACTGTATCTTGTGGTAACCTGCTGTATTACTCTTTCAATCCGATTCACAGTAATCGATTACCAATTGCTGTCATAATATAGGTATTTAACTGGGTAGTTAGCATGTTGTTTATGTTTCACATAGTTGTGTACAATATTACACACATTCTTCCTGCTATTTCATACTTTTTCTTATGTACAATAATATGTAAATTCTTCCCGCTATTTCATTTGCTTTGTCAGATTTTAGAACTTTATGCCTGCACATAAAACACTTATGTCTGCACATAAAACATTTATACACATAAAACCACGAAAATTAAATTCAGATTTGTCTTATAACTTTCGCATCACCCGTTAAAATTCTTGTGTTTACTTTGTTGTATTATTTAATTTATGTTTGCTCAGATTTTAGAGCTTTTTTGTCTCTTTTTTAATTTTTAATATAAACAATTTTAAAGACAGTTAAAAATTTATTTTCATTGTCAGTCTTTAGTTTATTTAGTTTTACATTAAATATCAAACTTAATGTCAATAATAACAAAAAATTTGAATGTAATTTGTTGTCAGTTATTACATTTTTATTGTTTATAAGTACCTAATTAAAATATTTCTGTTTTAACCTAAATTATATATATGATAATAATATTTTAAATAATATTAAATATTTAGGTAAAAATGCTGAAGTTGTTGATGGATTAAGTGATGAAGAGGTGTCAGTTGGGGAAGTGTACACATTAGGGTGTATATTTAAAGTTGGTGATGATGTGAGACAGGTATTTTTAACTTCTTTAATTTATATTCAAAAATATTTTTTTAAACTTAACTCTTTTTATAAAGAAAAAAAATATATTATTATTTATTTAATACAATTTATTAGAATTTAAGTATATAAATAAAGTTTGTATCCATAAAAATTAAAAATTGTTTAATTTTACAAGTTTTACAAATTTTTAATCAGAATAAACTTCATTTGCAGATTAGTTTATTAGTGGGATTTACAGTTTAGTGAGTGAGTTACATTTTAGTGAGTGTGAGTTACATTTTAGTGATTTATAGTTTAGTGAGTGTGAGTTACATTTTAGTGAGTTTTATTTTAGTGAGTGTGAGTTACATTTGCATTTATTATAGTAAGCATTATTCATAGGTTTATAGTTTTATTTATAGTTTTATTTTATTAGTTTTAGAGTTCCATTTTTAGATTCTTTTGTTAGAGTGAGTTCTATTTACAGGTTTATCAGTGTGCAATTTGCAGATTAGTAACTAATTCTTATTAAAACTTATACTAATAAACTAGTTTAGTTTATTAGAATAAGATCCATTCATTATTATAATAAGTTCCATTTATTATTATTTTATTTGTGTTTTATTCAAATTATTTTTCAAATTATTTATATTATAAATGATGAATTATTATCTATATTAAAAATTACATCTATAAACATAAAATGTTCTCTTATAAATCTTATTTCAATTGAAATTTTTTTATTAACTCTATATAAATAGTGTGCAGATAACATTTGTTATTAGTATTATTAAGTTTTTTTCTTTTTAAACAATTTTTTAAAAGTTTTACAATTTTATTGTGTTTATTGAAATAATAATAACAGCAATGATACTGAATTTATTACAATTAAAATTTTTGTTTTATATAGGATATGTTGGCTCTTCAGTTTATTGACCTTTTTAAAAAGATATTTGACCAAGTTGGCATGGATCTTTATCTTTCTCCATACAGAGTTGTTGCAACTTCCCCTGGGGTGTGTTGGTTTTTTTTTTTTTTTGTTTTATAGTTTAAAATTGTTCAAAATAGTTAAAACAACCAATGATAAAAATTTATTTTTTAATTCTTTTTGATTTTTTAGAAATCTATGTTGTCAATAATTTCTTTTTTTGTTATTAATACTTTTTTTAAAATGCAAGGTGGCCTAAAAGTTACTAGGCCATTTAAAACAGAAATAACTTTTTTATTTTTTCTTATTTATCATTTTATGAACAAAAAAACAGACTTCTTAGAAGTAAATTTTATCAGGTTTTGAAAATAACCTTTAAATATCCACCATTTTGCTCTTCACATTGGTATGCTCTTTCTATGGAGTAATCTATCATCTGTTGTAATGTTTCTTAATTTATGTTTTCAAATTCTTCATGAATTTATAGCTTCAATTGTTGAATTTATAATTCAATTGTTAAATAGTTGAGGGCTTATTGTGATATATTATATCTTTTAAATACCTCCATAGAAAGAAGTCTAGAACTTCTAAGTCAAGTGAGCTGACAGACAAGTCAAGTCAAGTGACAGACAGCTCTCATTGCTCTTTTATAATTTTTTTTTATAAAAATTATCTTACGATTGTTTTAAAAGGAAACAAATGTTCTTTATTTAACAAAGTTTACAAGTTATAGTTTTATTTAAGCTAAATTATTTTATAAATAAAAAAGTTAATTTTCTTAATACCTGTATGTTTCGCGTAGTTTGAAAAGTTTAACAAATTTGAAGCAATTCTTCTTAGTAAGATAAACAAATGAAATAATTAATCATTGAGTTACTATAGAAATAAAATTAACTAGATAGAAATCAACTAAAAAGTTTAAAAATAGTTTATGACAAGGAAGCGAAACTGCTTCACAATATTGTTGATGATGCTTAGGGAGTGTTCTTTTTAATTTTCATTAGTATTTAAAGCAGAAAAAAGTATAATGAATTTTAAGAATGGCAACTTAAGCGAAAATAATTAGAGTTAGTAAACCAATATCTAGAAACTTTTTTTTATATCTATTAATTTGCTATATATATTTGCGTCTGTCATGACCTCGTGCGGTGCTTCTTCATCCATGAGTTACTTTGTATGCGTTCTTTGTGTTTAGTAACCAGAAACTTCTTATATGTTACATAATTAATTTTATTAAAATAATGACTATAACTTCATTGAAAATGCAATTATTTTTGTAAATCATAAAAATTCCTTTAAAAGATACATTACGATATAAAACAGATACACAAAATTACATTTACATAAAGAATACATACTTTTTAAATAAAAAATAAGAATATACTAATAAAACCTATAATTTATAATAAATTTTCAAAATTTTGACAATTTAAATAATATATATTTAAAACATTTATTTTTGTAAACAAATAATATATATTCTTAAAACAATTTATGCTAGAAATCTCAAACGTAACAATTCGTGAATAATACAATTTCTAAAACATTTTAACAGAATACTCTAGAACTTTATTTTGCTTTGTCAGCATATTTTTTTAACCAATAGAATTAGTTTGTTCATTAATTTGGCGGGTTTTTAGTGTTTGCGATTATTCCTTATTCCGCACCAAGATGTTTTGAGAACATTCAAGTTTTTTATGTTTCCATGTATGTCTGTAAAACAAAAATTTTTTGTTTTGTACATAAACTTAAATGTTCTCAAACGACTAAAAAACCTGGCCAGTTTTTCGCAACTAAATATAATTTCTGTGGTCAGTATTTGAGAGCGATCGCTCTCGCTTCCCGACCAAGCCTGCCATAGCAATGTTGTTAATGAGTTCAAGTTCATGCCTTGCCGATTCTTGGAAAAGGATGGCATATGCTTATTGTGCCAGATAATCTGCTGGCACCAATTCTTGCACTACCTGTATTACAGGTAGTGCAGGATATCTGTATTTCAGGCTATATTAAGGTATGCTATCCATTTCTGAGAATTGGCAAGGCAAGAGCCTGAGTTCTTGTTGTTAATGAACCATAGCAACCTGGTGTTGCTATGGTTCATTAACAACATTGTTATGAGAGATAATGCCCACTCCCACTTAAACAGTTATGTTAATAAACAAAATTTTAGATAATATAAAACAAAATATGCGATATTTGGATCTGTAAAAGATACAGGTCCTGTATCTTACACAGAATCCTTTGAATCCTCTGGAGCAAAGTTTGAAATATTCAATACTGTTCGAGTTGACACTGAAGACTCTTTTTCATAGTTTTTGCATACATGCTAAATATTGTCCTGTAACCTCGCTAAGCATAGCCTCCTAGCACGTGGTAAATCACTCACAGATCCATGAATTTGAAACCGTTGTGCTAAATTAACTACTGTTTGTTTACATGGTGGTTATATAACTCCAAAATGACCGGTGTAAGCTCTTTATGAAGCACGGTTGACTGTCTATTTTCCAGATTAAGTTTGATTATTTTAACATGTTGTTTGGTCTTGAATTTTTTCCATATTTAAATTATAAGGATTAAGAATAATCTGAAGTTTAAAAAATAAAATTCATTAATTGTAAAAATTATTCTATTTTCAAATGGTCTAGTGACTTTTGGACCACCCCATACTTTTTTATTATTTGTCAATGTGTGTATTTTTTTTTTGTACAAAAATTGCCTACAGGGGCAGTTCGAGTATAAAAAGATAGAAAACAATTAAAAACTAATATTTAAGTTTAAAAAGTTTACTTACAGTTTTTTTCTTTTTTTATTTCATTAGAGCACAACATTTGTCTTAACACGTAGTTGATGCATTACACTTTCAAAATAGTGTAAAAGTTACTAAAATACTAATAAGTTATTTAAAATCCTATTATTTGATAATAATTATAACACAAAATTTGGCAAATATTCCTAGTACAATATTATTTGCCTTAACAAATGAGGTTGTCTTTTATTATATAAAATATAACTAGGTAAAATTTCAATTACATCAGCAATGCTGGAGACTAGTGACCCAGTAATTACTTATAAGTCTATTTTATTGTACTTCAGAAATTTTAAATGATTCTGACAATAAAAAGCATTAAGGTTTTTTTTTTTAATTTATTTTTAGTGTGGTGTTATTGAATGTGTCCCAAATGCAAAATCGCGAGATCAACTTGGTCGTCAAACAGAAGTGGACTTATTTGCTTACTTCATTAGCACATATGGCGATGAAGAATCTCTACTCTTCCAAGAGGTGAAAACAATTTGCGTGGTTACTCTCAATAAATTTTTGCATTTTGTTAAAAAATATTTTTGAAACTATCTTATTAGGCATAATGTTATTTTTATATTAAGGCACGCATGAACTTTATTCGAAGCATGGCAGCATACTCTGTGATTAGTTTTTTACTTCAGATTAAAGATCGTCATAATGGCAATATTATGATTAATAATCAAGGGTTCGTTATTCATATAGGTTCGTGTTTTCAAAACTTCTTATCTTAACAATTTTACTTTGTTCTTTTTAATTTTTTTTTTTTTTTTTTTTTTTTTAATGAAGATTTTGGATTTATGTTTGAGTCTTCTCCTGGTGGAAACCTGGGGTTTGAACCTGACATGAAACTGACACCTGACTGGGTGCAGCTCATTGGAGGTGATATTGAAACACCAAGTTTCAGGTAAAAATAGTTTATATATTTTGATATAAAAATTTCAACATTTCTTTTGAAAATAAGTTTGTTAAAAAAGGATGAGGAAAAAAAATATTGAGGGGTTGCAAACAATTGAAATAATATGCCACAATAGATCAGACAAATTTTCAGTTCCCCTTAAATTCGCCATACATATCAAAAGCTTACCTTCCTCTTATATTCTCTATATATACCAAAAGCGATGGTTCTTAAAAATATGAAGTGTTTTTTGTAGCTGCTTTGGTTATTTGAATTTTTTTTTTTCAATCTCGGGTCAGTTTGACTCCTCATTCAGCACAGTCATTAACCACTTTTAAAATCTTTTTTAACATAGTTATAGTCTTTTATCTTTTTTTACCTTGTACTTGGAACTAATCCACTTGATTACGTTTCATTTTAGGTAAATCAAACATAAACCTGGAATCTGGCCCAATCAGTGACACAAAGTTAAGAATTTTATTCAGTTTGATTTGCGGAAATATTGGTTTTCTAAGCTTGTTTGTTTGTTTCTTTTGATGTTAAACAATTTCAAATCTGTGGCAGATTGTTCGATCACTGTAATAAATTCATCAAACAAGATGAAGACAACTAACTGTTAAATGTAATGTCAAATTACATTTAACCGCTGCATGTTAGTGATATACTGTCGGTTGATATTTGATGCATTGATGGAAATTCAACTTTGCAAAAAAGCTTTTGCTTGGAATAAAATCTGCCACTCTCTAAAGCTTATGGTTTTGGTTCTGGTTGAGCCAATTAATTTGTTGGCCCAATATTACGTATTTAAAGAAATGTACCTTGTTGTGCATGAATCTTGTACAACAATAAGCACCTAGTTCCTTCCGAAATCTTGAAAATCTGAAAAATCCTTTCATCTTGTAGTTCTCTGCCAAGATAAACAATTACCAGTTCAATAAGAGCTTGATAATCTTTTCTTGAAAATGTATTCTTTTGTAGACAATCGATTGGGTCATCTAGAAATTTAATATTAAAATATCAATATTTTTAAGTACTAGTTCTCCTGAAGCATTTTAAGTCGGAACTCAATTGGCTTATTATGGTTTCCAATAACTGCCTTCCAGATTTGTTTAATGTGTAGCTCATAAATGTGGTGCTGACAAACAGCCAATAAAATTGCACTACCAATCTCCTTATCAATTAAAGAAGGTCATCCTGCCTTCAGATGACTTAAAAGATTCCAAATTATATGAATCAGGAAAAGAAGATGAAGGGAGCAAATTCCAAAGAACTGATATTCAAGAAAAAAAACTAGATGAATAAGAGTTTTTGGAGCACTAAGGATCAGTCGCAGTAAAAGGATGACACTTAATTGAATGATGAGTAACACCAAAATGAATTTTAGTAGATGGCACAAGAGAGGCTAGCTCTTTAGAGCAGTGTTCATTATAGTATTTATAGTAAAGAGAAAGAGAAGCAACATTACAATGATATGATAATGGTTAGAGGTTGGCAGCAAGAGTAAGTCCAACAATGTTTACAATGCATTTTTGCATTTTGTCTAAAAGAAAAAGGGCATAATCGGAAGATCCGCCCCAGACATGGCAACAGTAATCCATACAAGGATGGATTTGAGATTTATAGAGATAAAAAATAAAATTCAGAGTAAGAAAGTAGCGAGCACAATAAAGAGATGCAACCTTAAAGGATGCTAAATTTGCAATTGATTTGATATATGGTTTCCAAGAAAGATCGAAAATAAGAGTTAATCCTAGAAGACAAAGGGTAGATGACTCATTGAGTCATCTACCCTTTGTACTCTATAAAGCTAAAAAAAACTATTTTTTATCTTTGTTTTTTTTTTTTATAATTTAGATCTAAATTATTGTGATAAAGATTAGCTGAAAAAAAATTTTTTTAATTAAAGTTCACCAACCACTGAGAACTTCATGCTGTAGCAGAAGTGAGAATTGTTTTGGCGATAGATATGAAAGTAATGGTTAAAATTGGAAATTGCCGCAGCACAATATGAGGTGAACCAAGGAGAAGAGTGAGGCTTGACTTGAAATAATTGAGAGGGAATAAAAAATTCCATGCCAGCCTGAATCCAAGAAGTTATATAAGAAGCAAATTTTTTTTTTCTTTTACTACGTATATACTACGTATTAAAGCAGTGTCTGAATAATTTTACTGTTACTAAGCAACAAGTTTGCTATCACAGTGTCTGGATGAAGTAGACAGTTGCATTTATATTTACTTTTTAATTGATAAAGTTGACTTTCTGGTTCTTCTTTTGTTGGCGATGAACATTTGATTTTGAAATACCAAACTGTTCAAAGGGAGCATCAACAACTTTAATTATTTTTGCTTTAATGGCCATTCTGTCTCTATGCATAAGTGTAACTGATTGGAAACTTCAGTAAACGATTCAATCAACTTCTTTAGACTCTGAGAAATAAGGGCTGGCAATTTTTATTTCTTGGGTAACACTCCCTATAAAATAATTTTCTTAACTTTTTCACTCGTAACAATATTCCCTCTTTCTTTTAGAAAAAGTATGCTATGCCTTGATTTGTACTCTTGTTCTCCCCCAAATATTTTTAAGTTTGATTAAAATTGTATTAAAAACATCATGGGTTGAAGTTGATCCTTTTTCATCAACATTGTCAGCTTCTTGGAGGTGAAAATATCTTCTTAAAAGAGCAACTTTTAATGGTTGTTTTGAACCAACACCTAAACTTTTTTAGAGACCAAATCCATCAACTTAGTTTTAATGATCTTTCCTTGTGTCTAAAGTTGTTCCCTATACTAGACTTTTCCATTTTTAAACTAATACATTTAAAAATTAAAAAATTTGAAGTTTAAGTAATTCAGTACTACTCTATACCAATTACACACTAAAAATCAATAAACTTCATTAAAATTAGCAGTCAATGGGAATTTTCCTATAACATTTTAATTGCTTTTGAATTAATTTTTTTGAAAATGCTGATTAGTACATTGTAAGTATTGTATTTGTAAGTAATGTACATTGTTAGTATTTTAAAGTTACTAACTTTGTATTAAATCTTAACAAATTATTTAATTTAAGTTGATAAGATTTTCCAATCAGTTTTTTTTATTTTTTATTGAGTATTTTAAAGCTACTTACTTTTTGCCTCACTTTCATGCATATACATGAAATTGAGTTACTGCTTTTATTTGTGCTGCATTTTTAATAACTTTCATGCATATGTACTGGATATTGAGTTACAGTTTTTATTTGTGCTACATTTGAATAACTGTTTTTTATATACACTAAATAACTTTATTAAACTTTTGTTGTTTTTTAGATGGTTTATGGAGCTTTGCGTTCGTGCTTATTTATCAGTTAGGTACGTCTTTTTTTTATCTTTTAGATATTTTTTATATTAATTAATATACCAAATAACTTTTCTGTAATCACTATAGACCCCATACAGAGGCGTTTGTGTCTTTGGTTGCATTAATGTTGGATACTGGACTTCCATGTTTTCGTGGAGAGACTCTGAAAAGATTGAAGTTGATTTTTTTTTTAATTGTTTTTTTATAATTTTATACTATTGTAATTATATATTATTTATTTTTGTAAGATTTTTTAGGAGACTTGAATTAAGCAAGCGCGAATCACAAAGATCTTGAAACTCTTTAAGTTTAAAAAATCACAATCATTGGTTTTTACAATTTTTTAGGTAGTAAATAGTATTACTTGTAAAATGAAATAGTTTCCTCAGTTAAAATATTCCATTATTAAATGAACTAAGTTTTGAATTCAAAACACCTAAGTTTTCTATGTATTGTTGCATGTGGGATTAACCATTGGAGTTTATGTAGGAGTTATGGTGATTTGCATGTGGGATCAACCACTGGAGTTTATGTAGGAGTTATGGTGATTTGAATAATTATTAAGTTGCTATGTAACCATATAACTGAAACAACATCTTATCTAATGTCAGATTTATATGAGTTAAAAATTATTAAGTTGCTATGTAACCATATAACTGAAACAACATCTTATCTAATGTCAGATTTATATGAGTTAAAAATAAAAAAATAATTTAATTGATGAATTATTAAAAAATTGCTAAAATAAAATAATGTTATTTAAATATATAAAGTTTTCCCCTAAACAAACAAAAATCTAGACGCTTAAATTAAAGCTTTTGTTTTTATATTCAGAGTTACACAAAAGTTGTAAAAAAAATCTTAAAGCTCTTAAAGCTTGAAAATAATTTTAAACCACGCAAAAAAAAAAATTAAAAATATCCTTCTATATCTACATTTATATATATATATATATATATATATATATATATATATATATATATATATATATATATATATATATATATATATATATATATATATATATATATATATATATATATATATATATATATATATGATATATATATATATATATATATATATATATATATATATTTATATCATGATGATCTATTGTTCAATCACTTAAAATATAAGTATTTTCACAGAATGTTGTGTAATGAAAGTTATATATTAACTTTTAGTATAATAACACAAACTAGTTAATCTTCTTTTGAGAAAAAAAATATATATTAAATCTACAATAGAGAAAGCAAATTTTTTAGGCTCATATATGAAGACAGTGGCAAGATGCTGTCAACTAAATTGGATTTATACCTTATTAAAACTAACTGTTCAGATTTACTTTTTTATCAGTCCTTAACCATGAGTATAGATTGGTGGAATGTTCATAATGAGATAATATAGTTTATGTAACAACAATGAAATTAGATATCCATCTTGCAGATACAATTAATACATGGGTGGCTAATGAGTGGCGTGGAGGTCATGGGTGGTTAATGAGTGGCATATATATATATATATATATATATATATATATATATATATATATATATATATATATATATATATATATATATATATATATATATATGTATATATATATATTTATATATATATATATATATATATATATATATATATATATATATATATATATATATATATATATATATATATGTATATAGGTCTCATCACAGAGCACCTGGGAAGAGCATTTAACTTGAATTCATGCCTCCTTTTCATGCTTTATGTTGCTAAAATGGTTAGAGCAGGCATCAAGACAAAAGCAAGATCTTTTGGTTCTGAAGTAAACCCTGTAACCACTACTTAATGGTTGTTTTATATATATATGTATGTGTGTGTAAATTAGAACCATTCAAAGTGTTTTGAGTTATTAACTAATAGCCAATAGCAAAAGTCGCTTTAGCTAGTTTCTTGTATACATACTTCTTCTTTTTAAAAAGTTTTTTTACAAGAACTTTTGGTTACTTATAAAGCAGATGTTGCACTATTTCAAAAGTTTATGTTGCATATTTATATTCGAACTATAAAACTATGTGATTGGTTGTAATCTCATGATGGTTGTGTTAATCAAGATTTACTGGAAGTTGTTGATCAGATACTTTGTAGATACTCAGAAGCTGTTGCTTCATCTGTTGGAGTTAAAAAAGTATTTTCATCATTTGATGTATTTAGACATTAGAAATCAACTGAAAATGGAAAAAGTATTTTCTTATTCAAACTATTTATTTAACTGGTATCACTTTTTTTAGAGCATTGTTTGAAGTAAATGTTTCCTAATATAGTAAATGTATGTATTTGTGTTTAATTATAAGTAATCATGCCGGAGAGCAAACATTTGTATCAGAGAGCAAACATTTGTGTCAGAGAGCAAGTATTTGTGTCAGAGAGCAAACAGCTTTGATTTATTTAATAGCAATCTTCTGTCTATAATATTTCCTATAATATT